CTACTAAATCAGCAAGGATTTTAAGTGTAGAAGTGTGGATTTTCCAATCAACTATTTGGGGTTACCATTAAGAGCTAAATATAAAAATGTAGCAACCTCTAGTGACAAGGTTTGAGAAGAGATTGGTCGGATGGAAGAGAAATTTCTCATCTAAATGGAGGAGACTCACACTTATTAGAAGCATGATAGCCAATATCCTCATTTACTAATGTCCCTACTGATAGTCCCTGCGAGTATGGCCAAGAGACTAGAATCTATTCAACATATATTCTTATGGGGCGACAAGGAGGATAGAGCACAAGGTGAAGAAGCCTATGAGTCAAAGAGGCTTGGGTTTGAGATCTTTGATGGAAGTGAGCATGGTTCTTTTAACGAAGTGACTTTGGAGATTCATAAATGAAAATGATAGTCTTTGGTGGAGGTTGATTCAGGCAAACTTTGGAACCGTGGATAGAGGATGGAATACTAGGTTCTCATCTAGACCCCATGGGAAGGGGACGTGGAAAAAAAATAGACATACAAGAACAAATTCTAGAATTGTATCAACTAGATGGTTGGCATTGGGGACAGAATTAGCTTTTGGAATGATGCTTGGTTGAAGGACGGGTCACTCAAAGAACACTTTCCTCAAATCTATGTTATTGCACGACACAATAATACCTCAATTCATGAGTCTTGTGGTGGCATTTGAAGGAAGAGGAGTAAAATGCGGAGGCTATGTGAAATCTCGATAATTAGGAAGTTAGGGATTATAGATCCTCCTCCCAACCCTTGCTATGGTTAGCGTGAATGGGAGTAAAGATCAACCAATTTGGAGACTCAATAATAGAGGACCTGATGTGAGCACGGATGACTTGGACTATTCAAGCAACCAACCAAGTCAAGAAAGGAAACAACCCCTAAAGAAGTTAAAAGTCCATGGGAAATCTCTCCCCACCCTAAGAGATTTTATCTCACTCGAGAGATTTTTCTCTCTAAAATGAAAGTTTCCTTTTCTTCTCTATATCTTTCTCAAGTGGCAAAAAAAAAACCATGATCAAGGAATTTTAGAAATCCATCAGGAGAGAATAAAGATCATAACTTTCCAAGTGTCCAAGTCAAGATCATATCTTTTCAAAAGAGCATATTCATATATGGAGAAAATCAAGGGAGATCATGAATAGATTTTAAACATTTATCACAAGATCATTGATAGATTTACTTTCCTAAGGAATAAAAAGATCTTTAAATTAAGAGATCTTCAAGAACTTTTCTTTAAATTAAGAGATTTTCAAGAGATCCTCTTTAATTAAGAAATTTCCAAGAGATCTACAAAAGATCTTTCTTAAATTAAGAAATTTTCAAAAGATCTTCTATAATTTAAGAGATCCTCAGTATTTAATAAAGTTTCTACAAAGGAGATCATATCTATCCTATTTTAGTTGCAATTCTTTTAATTTTACTAGTTTCCTATTGTATTATAGATTTAATTTTTTATGTAACTTTTTCATTAAATTAAGAGATTATTTTTCTTATTATTCACATGGCTAACACTATAAATAGATCATCAATTCACAGTTGTATTAATTCAAGTTTGAGAATAATAAAATTATGAAACTTTAGTTTTCAACTAATGAGGCTTTCTTCAACCTTCTTATTGAGTGGGAATTGATTCAACTTATCAAGGTAAGTGTTTGTGGCATTTTATCAATTTTCTTTCGAATTGGTTTCTAACTTATCAAGTTCATACTTGTGGTGTTTTTAATCAATTAAAACTATCTCAATTACCTTAGTCCATAATTCCGAGTGAATTGTTGGGTTAAGTAGGGAGGATTTGTTGAGAATTTTAAGTTTCTGATTACTAATATATATACGGAGTTTTGGATTACGATGTTGATCCTAGGTTCCACATCAGAACCCTTATCGATTTGGTCTTTCTATAACCATTTGATTAAAAGAGATGCCACAGGTATCAACTTTCCATGTTGGCAAAAATTTGGAAGATTAATGTCCCACCTAGAGTTGTTTTCTTTGCTTGGCAGGTAGGTTGTTTTCTTTGTTTGGCAGGTAGGTTGGGATGTGCATTGTGTCAGCGCCTGACAACAGCACTGGCAGGAGCTGGAATATTGTGCTGCATAAAAATTTGAATGATTGGGAACTAGAGGAATTTGAAATTTTGATGGCATTGCTAGAATCTACCAGAATTAGTAGTAAAGAAGATAAAATGATGTGGACTATGAATAAAAATGGATCATTTAGCATCAAATCCTTCTATAACCACATTGTTGGCCAAAACAGCAGGATCAAGCAGGTTTACCAAGCAAAAATGATATGGAAGGCCAGTGCACCTCCAAGAATTGCTTTCTTTACTTGGGAAGCTTCCAAAAATCGTATCCTTACCATAGATAATCTGATGAAAAGAGGCATTACTCTAACAAACATATGCTACTTGTGCAAGAATAATTCAAAAGCCTGTAACCAGCTTTTGCTTTGATGCCCTAACATTTAATCTCTATGGACCATGGTCTATGGTTTACTTGGCATCTGTTGGGTCATGGCTGGAACTGTCAAAAATGAATTGCTTGCACTAGAAATGTTAAGCAAAAAGAACAAAAAATTCATACTCATCCCTCTTACTATTTTCTAGGTTATTTCGAAAGAAATAAACAATAAAGCTTTTGAAGGAAAAGAAGTCACTTATAACAATATTTTGAACAAATGGTTCCATATTTTTGGTTCCATTGTACTAGAACATAGCATTACCCATTATGATGATTTAGAGTCAATTGTAGATATATTAATTGACTTGTAAATCCTTTTGTACATGGGTCGGCACCCCCTTGACACCCCATTTCAATATAGTTTTATACTTTTATCTCAAAAAAAAAATCTTACTCCTAACAAATTGATCGGGAGGGGGAAATATTCGTAAACAGGTGTTTTTTAGGCAAAAGAGAGGTACAGTCATGTAATCATACCCTTTTATTGTATCCGTTTGTGTATAAATTGTGGACTCTTACTTACG